CCAGGGCACGCTGCTGGCTCATGGTCACCCTGTCGTCCCCCAGCACTCCCAGTCCCTCTCCGCAGAGCTGCTCTCCAGCAGGTCAGCCCCAGCCTGTACTGGTGCCTGGGGTTGTTCCTCCCCAGGTGCAGGACCCTGCCCTTGCCCTTGTTGAACTCCATCAGGTTCCTCTCTGCCCAGCTCTCCAGGGCTCGCTGGATGGCAGCACAGCCTGCCGGGGTATCCACCACTCCTCCCAGTCCTTCAGTAGAGCAGAACATGCCCCGGCATGTGGGGGAGAGCAATCCCACCAGGAATCAGGCGAGCAAAGAGGGTTTCTGGCCTGGAGCAGGGCACAGCATCTCCCAGGGACAGGCAGCATGGACCCAAGGGCAGCCCTACAAGCTCCCACCAGCTCCAGCATGGGCTGCCTTGGGCTCCCTGCCTGCCTCCGCCCCAGGCTGCACACGCTCACACGCTGCAGAGCTTTTGGTTCTGACGAGGGCACAAATCTTCTCCGAAGTTTGGGTTTCAACAAAGACATGTCGGCTGCTTTGGCATCCTCCCCTTTCATCTCCTACTCGGCTTTCATTGCTCTTTTTTGTGAATTACTATCAGCTCTGCAGGCTCCTGCCGTTCTTACTCATGCCACTTACCACTACTGACAGCATCAGTTTCTGTAAGAAGCATTGATTGATGCACAAGGTGTGAACTTCTCCTTCCCTCCCCCACCTTCCTCTCAACAGTTTTCTCAAAGCTCTCGGTGCGCCCTGGCTTGCTGCAGCGTCTGCGGTCGTCACCCCTCTGCCCAGCCCGCGCCGTAAGGCTGGATGTCCCCGGAGCGGGTGACGGCGAGGGGAGGCTGCAGGGCAGAAGCGCTGGGTACATCACGGGCACCCTTCTGTTTCCCCCCCTGCCACAAAGCTTACTTTGTGCAAGCACTGTTCGTAAGTGAGTGTGGGTTTTTGTTCCCCAGCCAATTCGTGTCATTCACACGTGAAATGAACTTTAAAACCTAGGCTGAAGTCCAACAGGTGCAATCCCATATTTCATTTTTTCCTGCTTGGAGCTTGCCCCTTCCTCCCTCGCTCACAGTGAGCGTGCTCTGGATTGATCTCTTCCGTCAGCCCCGCTTCTTGTTTCTATTTGTAGTTAATTCAGGACAAATAGCTCCCAGCACTGCGGGCACTGAGGGCTTCTCCTGTATTTGAACTTTGCAGATAGCAGGCAGCCCCATTCTAGATGGAGTTTTCCAACTTTTTTTGCTGCCTAGGCTATTAATAGCGATTATTATTTGAATTTGATGAGTTTATTTTGGCGAGGGACCTTGAGGAGCCAAACTTCGTTATCTGCGGTCACACTGGCTTTCTTTGCGTGTCTTTCTCGGGTTCTGAACTGTTGAAGCACACTGCTCACCCGTTCCTGCAGCCAGAAGTTTGCTTTAGTGTTATTTTAGAAGGTTTGTTCAAACCATCAAGGGTTTCCAGTCGCTCTGTGACTCTAAGGAGAATCGTGGAAAGAACAGGGGGTTTAGGCTGCCTCTGGCAAGGTCCTACTCAGGTGGCTGTCACAGACGTTCATCGCCTAGAACCAGGCAGCAAAACCCTACAGACCCTACCAGCCCTGTCACCCGAAGCTGTCCCTTGCCTCGGGGCTGGGGTAGCCGTTACCCCAGCGACATGAACAGCCCCAACGTCTACGCAAAGACGAGAGCGAACGCCGTCACTTCGATGCGTAGGCTTCCTTGGCAGCCAGCCTGGTTGCAGAGGGCAGGAGAAAGCCATCAGCAGAGCCAAACCCTTGCTTGGGTTCATGGCTTGTTCTCTTCACGAGTGCCACCATGATGCTACTGAACTCCGTCTGTGGCAGCAAATACGGGCTAACGCACACCGCATCCTTCCAGGGACGCTTTAAATTTTAGTTGTCTGAGGATTTTTACCTCCTTCGCCTATTCGATGTCTTGTTTGATTGCTTCAAAATACAGCCAGTAACGCTGCTCACCTTTTCCTTCCACACCAGCGCCGAGCGGGCTCCTGGACATCTGGTACCGGCAGCAGGACGTGGACCCTGAGCGGCAGAACATCTCTCTCTTTTGGAAGGTGAGCTCTTCGCAAGCCGAGCAGACGCAGTGACAACCAGCGAGGTTCGAGGGGGGACACTGGTTTGTGTATAAAGTTCGAGGGGGGACGCTTGTTTCTGTGTTTGCGGGAAAGGACTGAACCCAAGGAGAGCCCGGGGCTTCCACCCGTGCCCACAGACAGGGACATGGGGACAAGCCCCATCTGGAATACTGTGTCCAGTGCTGGGCTCCCCAGTTCAAGAAAGA